ATTTCAGTTCACTGCCTTAAACGCTTGCTTTTTTCACTTCCTGTTTTGAGAAGCTTCAGGTTCTTATATTACTGAGCTATTGAAATTTGAAATGATTTGAACGTGATTATTCCATTCAATTGTCAAATATTTGAGTTATTGTTATATTTCAGCACTTAACGCATATTTAGAGTTTATTGAGAAATATTTTGTCTATCTTGCCTTACGTTCCCTCTGGGCACGGACGGTGTTAACTCATTTTTGAATAACTGGTACTTGGGGCCTTACCTGGTCCAGAGTTTTCCATTAAGTCTTGTTGAAATGGATGAATAATACATATATATATATATATGTGCATATATATTGGTGCACATATGTACAATGTATATATTTAACATATATGGCATGTTAAAAAATATATATACGCATTTAACATATATGACATATATAACATATGAGTGTGTGTATAATCTTGCTCTAGTTTTAATAATAGCTTTTGGTTTGCTCTCCTTGTGCAATTTTGCATACAAATGCATCAGATAGCTTTTGCATCTTTTAGCCTATAGAGTTGTCTATAAGACTGGCATATCTTCCTGGCTGGCTAGGGATTGAAACATTTGTTCAAAAATCTTGCCAAAAAAAGTGAGTAAGATTGGTTCACCATGTGTTTATAAGGTTCATGCTGTCTGCATTTTTATGACTGTATAAGCTACATCTTTTTAATCCCAATCTCTTACAGTTCTCAAAAAAAACCTTCCACTGCATAATACATGTCTACCAATCAATTATCACATTTTTATTAATGCGTACATGCATTAGATTGTCTATCAGATCTGATTCCTGTTTCAGTTGGAAGTCTACATGGAAATATTTTAGTGAGCATACACAGTGAAGATACTTAAAGTGACCTGAGTAAAATAATTTCATAAGTTACTGTAATAAGAAATAATATACTGGGGTGCTTGGGTGGGTCAGTTGATGAAGCATCTGACTCTTGATCTCAGCTCAGTCTTGATCTCAGGTTCCTGAGTTCAGGCCTTGCATTGGGCTCCATGCTGGGCATGAAGCCTACTTAAAAAAATCTATTATCTATATTTATATATGTATATACATGTATATATATGTATATATAGTATATATATACACACACTTTAATGCTTATTACAGGAATGTGGTTATTGAAGATGCCTTTTTATTTATTTATTATTATTTATTATTTTTATTTATTAGAACGCGAGTTGGGGAGAGGGGCAGAGGGAGAGAGAGAATCCCAAGCAGGCTCCATGACCAGCGTGGAGCACGACATGGGGCTTGATCCCAAGACCTTGGGATCATCACCTGAGCCCAAGTCAAGTGTTGGATCCTCAGCCAGCTGATCCACCCATTGGTGCCCGTTTTACTTTTTTTTAAAAGAAAATCGATCAGCTGAAAAAAATTTGAGATCTTAATATGTACAGGTTATGGAAATTTTAACGAACTTATAGACTAATCACATCCTTACGTGAGGACAGAAGGAGTCGCCGCCTGGGTAGCTCAGTCGGTTAAGTGTCTGACTCTAAATTTCCACTCAGGCCATGATCTCATGGTTTTGAGTTCAAGCCCAGCTTTGGGCTCTGTGCTGGCAGTACGAGCCTGCTTGCTTGGGTTTTTTTCTTGCCGTCTCTGTGCCCCTACCCTGCTTGAGGGCATGCATTGTCTCAGAATAAACATTTAAAAAAAAAAAAAGGAAAGAACAGGTGTAGGAGGAGTTTAGGAAAAGACATGAAGGTGGTAGGTAGTTTTATGTTTACATTTCTTTGTCTTAATTCCTTAAAAATTCTGTTTTTTGTTGAAAAATATGTCTTTTTCCAGACCTGGTAATGCTACTTACCTACGTGTTGATTTTTAACATTTTCCAGTGTACTTTTATATCTGACTGTGGTGTGGTACTCGAAGTACAGTAGTGGGCCAGGGCTTAGGAGACCTGCATTCCAGTCTTCAGTCTGTCACTGAGCGTTTTGTAACATCGGAGATGTCTTGACTTCCCTGAGCTTTATTTTTTCTCATCTGTAAAACAGAGGAAAATTAACTGTAAAAGGAATGTTAAAGTCCATTCTAGCTCTCATTATCTTATCTTTATAATGTTTACAGTGGCCCATTTTAAATAGTAACTGAGCTCAGTTTAGTTTCCATAATGCAGAGATAATGCCTGCTCTGCCTACTTCACAGGATTGTTTGTGAAGATAAAAGATAATAACAGTGTTAAAATAGTTTAAAACTTTCATGAATGTAAGTGTTTATTTAGGAGTCTCAGCAACTTTTGGGGGGGCAATGTTTGTTTTTTTCTGAAATTTTGCTGCTGTTAGCAAACACATTCCCAAATACCAGAACATTTTTGCTGAGTTGAGCAAATATTTCTATTTTGTTTTTTCAAAGTCTCCTTTTTTTTTCCTACCTATCACTAATATGAACGATAACTCTTTACTAGAAAGGTCTCAGTTAATATTTGCGTGATTTTTCTAGTTACATCATTGCCTTAATTCTAAACAACGGAAAAGAAGAAAAGACCCACCCAACTATTGCAGACTTTTTTTTTGAATGGTGTGTGTTTGCAGATTTCAATGTATTTTCACTTGTTTAATTTTTTTTTTCAACGTTTATTTATTTTTGGGACAGAGAGAGACAGAGCATGAACGGGCGAGGGGCAGAGAGAGAGGGAGACACAGAATCGGAAACAGGCTCCAGGCTCTGAGCCATCAGCCCAGAGCCCGACGCGGGGCTCGAACTCACGGACCGCGAGATCGTGACCTGGCTGAAGTCGGACGCTTAACCGACTGCGCCACCCAGGCGCCCCTGTTTTCACTTGTTTAAAAAATTTTTTTTTATTAGAGGCTCTCTTTTTTTTTCATAGTCTTCTCCCCATGATTTTGGATACATTTATTTTATGAGGAAAAAATGAATAGGAGTATAAAAAAATTGAAAGTCCTTAGCTGGTACCTGCTTATTTAATGGAGAAAAAAAAAAAGATGCATGTGAAGGAGGGGTGTAGCGCAAGGTAAAGGGAGGGGAACCAGCTTTAGTTTTCTCTTTCAGTGTTCTCTTTCTCTTCATTTAGGGTATTATTTTCTCTATTCATCAATCAGGAGCAGAAACATCCTCCAAAGATTGGTTTGTGGCAAGTTCTGGAGTAGTAAGTGTTGTTAGTATGAGATTCCGCCCCCCCCCCCCAGGGGGGTTTCATGAGAGCCTTAAGTATGTTAAGAAGGAAACATCTCTCCATAAACCTGAATTAAATAATATATATTATTTATTTAAACAGATCCTATTATGTCTATTTGTAAGTTTATTTTTTAATGAATGCTGCTTGTAAAAATGAGGATTTGATAATTTTTTTCTTGTTATATTGGATGGTAGGCTGAGGAAATAAAGATCACTGAAAAATACGAAAAATTATTTTTATTTTTTAATTTAATTTTGTTTTTTTATATTTTATTTATTTTGTGAGAGACAGCACGAGCTAGGTAGGGGCAGAGAGAGAGGGGGACATAGGAGCCAAATCCACTTCCGTGCCCATAGCAGTGAGCCTGATGTGGGGGCTCAGACTTACGAACTGTGAGATCATGACCTGAGCGAAGTCGGATGCTCAACCAACTGAGCGACGCAGGGACCCCATTTTTATTTTTTTTAAGTAGCAATGATAGATTATCCTTTGTGGACTTGTTAAGTAACTTAAATATTAAGGATTTTTTAATGATTACAAAAGGAATATATTTATTGTATTCCTGTTTATTGTTAGAAATTCAAACATAACAGAGTTGTGTCACTTCAGAAATTTCTCTGCTTACCCATTTCCTACTTTTAAAAATAAACCTTGTATACTTACATGCTTTTCTGTGCAAATGCTAACATATGTGCATGCATATTTTATTACCTTTTGATTAAATTAGATTCTTTACAAAAATAAAAATGAAGCATCATGGATGCAGTTTACATATAAATGAAATTAGGGTCCTTAATCTATTGCTTGTATACTTTGTAAGAAAAATTTAAAGGAATGAACATAGCTACTAGCTAGCTATGTCCAATATGTTAAAAATGAGGAGGCTCAGGTGAAAAACTGTCAGTGTCAGAAGTAATTGTCCTTCTTGACTAGGATGATTGAAAATCTAATCCATGTTATTGTTTGATAATATCCTAGGAATGTTCACATCAGTTAAATTCCAACAGTAATTTTGGGTCAGCTCCAGTAGTTATTTGTTACTAGAATTAACTTTATTTGTTACTAGAATTAAATAGTTTCATCTCTTTATTGTCAAAAAAAAGTGTGTAATGAAATTAATGCTAGCTGCCATTGTATGCTGTTTATATTTTTTTTCTTTGTCTTTAGTTCTGTGATGTACATACTTATTTCTGGATAAAGGAGTTGAATTTGGAGAGGTTAAGTAATCTGTCCAATTTTTTTTTAGTTTATTAATTTTTTTTTTAATAATCTCTGTACCCAATGTGGGACTCGAACTCACGACCCCCAGATCAAGAGTTGCATGTTCTTCTGACTGAGCCAGCTGGAATTCAGATTGACACCTTTTTTATTGACCACTAAGTATGGGCTCTTCATTTAATTATTTTGCCATTAGGTTTACAGTCATTGATATATTTTTGGTAGATAGAATTAGATTTTGAACACAGTAACCTTAAAGAAATATGTAATTCTGTTATAGTTTTTGTCTTTACTGTAGATTGCATTTGTATGAACTTCGTATGGATTTGTATGAAAATTGAGATCATACTATCAGTGTACCAGAGTGATTATTATTGGAGACTTCCGTTTAGCTTTGTCATGTGTTAAAATGAGCAGTGGTTTAGAACTAGGAAATTTATTTATGTATGTAAGTATGTATGTATATTTTTGAGAAAGTAAGAGACAGCCTGTTGAGCACAAGAGGGACAGAGAGAGAGGGAGACACAGAATTTGAAGCAGGCTCTAGGCTCTGAGCTGTCAACACAGAGCCCAATGTGGCACTTGAAGTCATGAACCACGAGGTTGTGACTTGAGCTGAAGTCAGAAGCTTAACTGACTGAGCCACCCAGGTGCCTCTAGAATTAGGAACTTTAAAATTCAATTCAAATTTTTTTGGGAAACATATTTTGTATTTACTTTTCATGTTCTGTGCAGTTTTTCTTTGTGATTATTTCTAAAATTTAGTCCCTGACCTATTAAAATATACAAACTGAAAAAAAATATATACAAACTGAAAGAACTAATCATATAAACAATACTAAAGAAACAGGAACTTGCTTAAATTGGGGGAAGAGTATTTGTAAAGCAGAAAGGAAAGTGTAAACTAAAAGATACAATGAAGTAGCATTTATCTTTCCTAATTTTAAGGACACATGGAATCATTTCCTAACTTGATACTCTGTTCCAAATTAAATGGAATTTTAAATGTACTTTTTTCATTTTACATGAAGTCAAATGGTAACATTTTCACATTGAAAGTTCCATAACATGAAATGTAAGAAGTGCAGTAAAGAAAGCCCCACCAGCAGGTACCAGGGTGGCTCAGTCAGTTAAGTGTCTGACTTTTATTTCAGCTCAGGTCATGATCTCATGGTTTGTGAGTTCGAGCCCCGTATTGGGCTCTGTGCTGACAGTGCAGAGCCTGCTTGGGATTTTCTCTATCTCTTCTCTCTCTGCCCCTCCAACATGCACATGTGTTCTCTCTCTCTCTCTCTCTCTCTCTCTCTCTCTCTCTCAAAATAAATAAACTTAAAAAAAAAGAAAGTCTAACCAATAAGTTTGTTTCTGTCTTGGGCAAAAATTAATAATTAGTAAACTAGTAGTACTCTTCTGTGTTTTGTTGTTGTTGTTGGCTGTTTTTACTGTTGCCTTTATCAGTAAATGTAGTAAAATCTTTTTAGTTTTAATGCTGTAGGAATTTGCAGTACCATAATTAGACTTTGGTAAATTTTTTACTTTTGGTAAATTGTGATGAGACAATCTCCTAGTTAATTATTTCTTCAAATAGTGTTACAGTGTAGTGTTTTAGTTAAATAAGTTAACAGACTTCATAAGTTCTTGAATTGCTAATTTGTAAGTAGGGTTGTACGTGTGCCAATTTTAAAGGTGTCTCCTGTTTTAAGTAAAAGCCTATATTGGAAAATACTTTTTTATTGCATAGATACTTGATAGTATCTAAAACTACATTTTAAAAAGTATTTTATATGGGGCGCCTGGGTGGCTCAGTTGGTTGAGCATCCGAATTCAGCTCAGGTCACGATCTTGCGGTCCGTGAGTTCGAGCCCCGCGTCAGGCTCTGGGCTGATGGCTCAGAGCCTGGAGCCTGTTTCCGATTCTGTGTCTCCCTCTCTCTCTGCCCCTCCCCCGTTCATGCTCTGTCTCTCTGTCTCAAAAATAAATAAATTAAAAAAAATTTTTTTAATGTATTTTATAAATCTTACAAACTATTGTTTTAGTCCCAAATTTTGAGGGTTTCCATTTGTTTACTCTTCATTTGTTGAATGTCTTCCTTCATAGACACTGGTAAATTGATATACAGTCTCCAGTGTCAAGAAGTTCATATTTTAGTAGGTATGAGAGATTTACAGAGATCTAACTGAAATGTATTATGTAAGTGTGATTATGGGAATCTTCAGAAGAGCGTTGAAGATTCCATTCCGAGGAAGAAGAGATAATGACTTTTGTGCTTGGTTTTGAAGTAGGAATAGAAGCTTCAGGTAGGCAATGTCAAGGAATAGTCAGTTATTATTTAAGGTTCCCAAACTTTTGTTCAGGAGAATAAAGATATAAAACATATAAGGTTATAAAATACCTTAGTAATGTCTAATGTCCTTCTTGCTGGCATACAGCTTCTAAACTTGTCTATCATTTTCCACAGTTGTAGTATATTCTGTAGCTTGAGAGAACTAGATTCTAGATAAAGCTCTGGTACTATTTTTTTTTTTTAATTTTTTAATGTTTATTTATTTGTGAGAGAGACAGAGACAGAGTGAGACTGGGGGACAGGCAGAGAGAGAGGGAGACACAATCTGAAGCAGGCTCCAGGCTCTGGGCTGTCAGCACAGAGCCTGATGCAGGGATCGAACCCACAAACCGTGAGATCATGACCTGAGCTGAAGTTGGACGCTTACCTGACTGAGCCACCCAGGTGCCCTTCTATTTTGTTTTTTAAACTTTGGACAAGTTATTTAACCTTTCTGGGTTATAATAGTTTCTTTATTTATAAGCTTCGAAGACTAGTGGTTCTTAGCCAGGGATACATAATATAATCATTTTAAAGGGTTTTTAAAAATACATGTGTATCTTGACACAAACTACTGAGAAGAAAAAGCCCCTGAAGTGATTCTGATGTTAAGAGCCACTAAGATAAGTAAAATATGTTTTTAATACCTCTGATTTCTTTCTCAGGAAGTTGTTCACTGTAGTGATTTAATTTTGTTTTCTGTGGTATAACTAAATTTCTGGAATGCTAGTAGACTGCATGTAGACTTTCTACCAGCAAAATCATCTACTGAGTATTTGTTCTCAGCTTCTGTTATGCTTCAAGGTACACTTTTTATTTTCTATGCCATGTTAATCTTTTTTTTTTTTCAACGTTTATTTATTTTTGGGACAGACAGAGCATGAATGGGGGAGGGGCAGAGAGAGAGGGAGACACAGAATCGGAAACAGGCTCCAGGCTCTGAGCCATCAGCCCAGAGCCTGACGCGGGGCTCGAACTCACGGACCGCGAGATCGTGACCTGGCTGAAGTCAGACGCTTAACCGACTGCGCCACCCAGGCGCCCCAATCTTCTTGATTCTAACTCTTGAAATCTTAAATAGATATGCCGTTTCTCCTACATCTGTGGAATACTCTTTTTATTTTTTATTTTTAAGTAATCTCTGCAACCAACGTGGGGCTTGAACTCACAGCTCTGAGATCAAGAGTTGCATGCTTCACCAACTGAGCCAGCCAGGCACCCCTGTGGAATACTCTTTAATTAACCTTATAAGGTTGAGAATTCAATGAATTAATTAATATTAAGTGCTAGTGCAGTGCCTGGCACAAGAGTAAGAAATAAATAAGTTTTGGCTTGTTATCAAACCTATTCCTGGGCCTTGAAACAAAGTGGACCTTTAATAAGTGTTTATTTTTTTCCCCTGTTAAATCCACCTCAAGACAACTTCTGGAAATATTTCTTAATTATCCTTTTTAACTACCTGACATTATAGTTTGATATCTACTTACTGTAAGTATTTATATGTATTTCAGAAATGTGTGCTTCAGTAGTCCTTTAAAGAGTAGCTTCTTTAAAACAGTAAAAATATGATCATATATAATGCTTTTAAAAAAACTATGGAACCCCTTTGTTTTATAAATGGAGATGTTTTTCTGTATTGCAAGCTGAAAAATGTTTAATAGCAACAGTGACATAGACCTCTTCTTTTGAATTGAGTAGTAATTAGTAATGCATTTGAATCGTTAAAATTTTTTAAATGTTTCTTTTTGAGAGAGAGAGAGAGAGAGAGCAAGTGGGAGAGGGGTAGAGAGAGAGGGAGACAGAAGTTCTGAAGCAAGCTCCATGCTGACAGCAGAGAGCCTCATGTGGGGCTCAAACCCAGAAACCATGAGATAATTACCTCGAGCCAATGTTGGACAGTTAACTGTGCCACCCAACTGCCCCTATATCATTAAAATTTTTAATTAATTTTGAATTATATAAGACATTGAAATATTTCTTAAGTTTGTGATTTTTCCCAGAACTAGTGCTTAGAAAACAATAAGCATAATTTATATACCTTTAAGGTGGATGTTATTAGCTGTAAATAACAGGTAGTTATTGATAAATTTACATTAATTAAAAAAATTTTTTTATAAAATTTTTTTTTAATGTTTATTTATTTTTGAGACAGAGGGAGACAGAGTACGAGCTGGGGAGGGGCAAAGAGAGAGGGAGACACAGAATCTGAAACAGGCCCTAGGCTCCGAGCTGTCAGCACAGCGCCTGACATGTGGCTCGAACTCATGGACTGCGAGATGATGACGACCTGAGCTGAAGTCGGATGCTCAACCGACTGAGCCACCCAGGCACCCCCAAAAAACTTTTTTTAATGTTTATTTTTGAGAGACAGAGCATGAGTTGGGGGGGAGGCGCACATAGAGACAGGGTGACACAGGATCCGAAGCAGTCTCCAGGCCCTGCTGCCAGCAGGATGCTGCTGGATGCAGGGCTCAAACTCACAAATCGTGAGATCATGACCTGAACTGAAGTTGGATGCTCAATCGACTTGAGTCACTCAGGTGCCCCAATTTATATTAATATTAAAGAAAGCATTTCTAATAATTCCAGTTAACTTTCCTGTGAAGCTTCTTAATCTAAATTTTAGCAGTGAATTGCTTTTTTTTTTTTTTTTTCACCTGCCCAAGCTCAAGGGGAAGTTCAGAGCAGTTTGGTTTGCCAAAATGTAGGTGATATGGACAAGAAAACAAAATAATTGGAAAATTAACCACTAATATGAGAATTTAAGGCTTGTTTTGCTTCTGACAGATTTTCCAGTACTTATTGAAAATTTTCATTGTATTATTTTCATTATTTCTAAAATAAATAAAAGAAGGCTAGGTAAGTTGCTTTACTAGTCCATGATTTTAGGTGATGTTCATTCTTCCTCTAGGCTTTAATGTCAGTTAATTTCCTTGGAGACTCGGGAGAATCTTGGTCCTGTTATGCTTTTAATTGTGCAAAACCTTTAAAAACTCTGACTTTTTTTTATTGAGAAAAAATTAAATTCCTGTTTCTATATAAATTGGTAACATTTTGCATTTTTCTATTCTTCCCTTACATATTCAGATGGGGCTGGTTTCTTTCCTGTACTCTCACAAATAGTATTCTCACTCTGCTCTCTGGGATTTTATTCATTTTATTTATTTTTAAGATTTTTTTTTTAATGTTTTATTTTTGAGAGAGAGCATGAGTGGGGGAGGGGCAGAGAATCTGAAGCAGCTCTAGGCTGTGAGCTGTCAGCACAGAGCTCGACATGGGGCTTAAACCCACAGACCATGAGATCATGACCTGAGCTGAAGTCAGATACTTAACCAGCTGAGCCACCCAGGCACCCCTGTTCATGTTTTTTAATTAAATTATTGAATTTATTTTATTTTTTTAAAAAGTTCATTTATTTTGAGAGAGAGAGAGTGGCAGAGGGGCAGAGAGGGAGAGAGAGAATCCTAAGCAGGCTCAGCACTGTCGGCACAGAGCCCCACTCCTCGCTCCATCTCTCATGATTCTGGCTCAGGTCTTGATTTCATGGTTTGTGAAATTGAGCAAGGGGCTCTGGGTGGATAGCAAGAAGCCGGCTTGGGATTCTCTTTCTCTCTGCTCCTCCCCGACTTGTACTTTCCCTGTCTCTCCTAAAATTAATAAACGTTAAGAGTCGGACACTTAACCAGGTGAGCCAACCAGGTGCCTGTAAGTTACTATATTTAAAAAATTGGTTTGTTCTATAGTTTTTTGGCAAAGGAATGTGTTTTACTGCTGACTTAGATAGACTAGGACTTAAAAAATAAAACTGATCGAACTAAGCAGGTTTTTCCTTTGATAGTAATTACTCCAATGAAAGTTTTGAGCAGCTGAGGTAGTGAAAGAATGGAGCATGTTTTTTTACTTTTTGTGTTTTTAAAAATTTTTTTTAATTAAGCATTTTTAGTGCTTTGGAATCTTTGGGTCCTCAACAGCTAATAGTTATAAAACCTTAATTTTTCTGAAGTTCCTTTCCTCTCCGTTGAGTGATGGGTTAGCACTTTCTAAAGCATAGATGTTTTACACACAACAAGTGCCCAGTAAATGTTCTCTTTATTCCCTACCCTTGTTGTTGTTTTCTTTTTTCTTTTAAAAAATTTTTTTAATGTTTATTTATATTTGAGAGAAAGACAGAGTGTGAGTGGGGGAGGGGGCAGAGAGAGAGAGAGGGAGACATAGAATTTGAAGCAGGCTTCAGGCTTTGAGCTGTTAGCTCAGAGCCCGACGTGGGGCTTGAACTCACAAATTGCAAGAACACGACCTGAGCCAAAGTCATATGCTTAACTGACTGAGCCACCCAGGCGCCCCTTTTTTCTGCTTTCTTGATTGTCACATAATCTCTTATGAATAGAGGACTATTTCTATCTATATTTGATTTTTTTAACATGATAAGTTCTTGAAAAAACATGTAGCACTAATCACATAAAATTAATCTGTGTGTGTTATGTAATCTTATGTTGTGACAGCCTAAGGAAGGGACTTGGAAGGGGTTTTGGTGGTAGATTGGCAGAAATATTTGTTTTAAGGTTTACTTTAAAATCACATAAAGTTTGGTCTTGAGGTTTCCAGTGAAGGATGTTTACTTTTTGGCATGAGTAAAATATTATGTGGTTTTCTAAAACATCTTTGTTCTTTATTTTTGGTGATAAATATTATATTTGTATTTTGTGAAAAAAATGAACTTGGAGATGTCGATTGAAATACTGACCTAGAATTGGTTACATAGAAAATCTTAACTTTGATAATTGGGAACTCACTATAGATATTGATGTGTTTTGGGAAGTTTTATTTTAAAAAAATAGAAGATGATTATTTAGAACTTAATTATTAAGTGCTTATGTACCAGGCACTGGAATAAGCACTTTATTTGCATTTTGTCTTTTAAAAATCTGTACAATCTACCCTGTTAAGTAGATAATATTAGTACCCTTCATTTGTGGATTATAGAACCGAAGTTCAGAGATTAAACAACTTGCCAGGAAGTCATATGGGCTGTGCTCTTTGACTCAGAGACAGATTTCTTAGTTATTATATTTAAGTATTCCCTTTAACACTAGTGCAATTTTATCTGTCACATTATATAGTAATAACTTAAATAAAATATAAAAAAAAAAATTCAAAAAATCTAAGTGGCACCTGGATGACTCAGTCGGTTGAACGTCCGACTTCAGCTCAGGTCATCATCTTGCAATTTGTGAGTTCGAGCCCCGCATCGGGCTCTGTGCTGACAGCTTGGAGCCTGGAGCTCCCTTTGGATTCTGTGTCTCCTTCTCTCTCTGCCCCTCCCCCACTTGTGCTCTGTCTCTCTCTATCAAAAATAAATATTTAAAAAAATTTATATAGTCATAACCTTGTTGAATTTAAAGATAAGTAGAATATTCATAGAAAATAAAATTTCAATTGTGAGAACTGGAAGTTTAAGTATATAAATATTTAAATTTGCTTTAGATCTTCTGGAATTTTAAATTACAGTATTTTATGCATTATGAAAGCATGGTAAGTCAAGATAAACAAGATTTTGGAGTGGGTTTTTTTTTTTTTAAATTCTGTGGTTCAGATATAGTGTCCTTTTTCTCTAGTGAAGTAGCTCTTTTAGCCAATTAAGCAAAAAAAAAAAAATTTTTTTTTTTTTTCAGTAGGGCTATAAGTTCAGTTATTTAGATGCAATTTTGCCCTGTACTCACCTTTTCCTTCTTTCTTTTTCTTTTTTGGTGTGTGTGGCATGGTAGAACTATTCAAAAGTTTTATTTAATTTAATTGGTAATTTGTTAAATCTTTTGATTCAGTCTTTATGGTAAGCCTTTTTGGTATGTATTACTGTAAAATGTGTTAATAACTAAGTACAGTAGTATATGTCATTTTCTTAAATGTGCCACTTCAAAGGATGATACTTTTGAGAGTGAAAGATTAATTTTGTGTAATAATGTAGTTGTAGGATGAGGTAGAGTTTCATAGGTACCAGCTGCAGACAGTGTTTTTGAAATACAGGTTGTTATTTTATGATATCTTTGTCCTCCATATCCTGAAAATGAAATGTGCTGAGTTAGGGTGGGGAAGAAGAAGATTAATTTTTATAAACTGAGACAGCTGGTTACTTGGAATTTTGCTATACTGTTTTGGTATAGTAGGAAATCCCCCCCCCTTTTTTTTTTTATGTTTATTTATTTTGAGAAAGAGCAGGCAAGCAGGGAGGAGCAGAGAGAGAATCCCAAGCAGGCTTCATGCTGTCAGCACAGAGCCTGATGTGGGACTTGAACCTTAGGAATCACGAGATCATGACTTCAGAAGTCTGTCGCTTAACCAACTGAGCCATCCAGGCGCCCAAGTAGGAAATCCTTTTTTAAAAAATCTTCATTTTTGAGAGAGAGAGAGAGAGTGAATGGGGGAGGGAGACAGAGGATCTGAAGCAGGCTCCGTGCTGACAGCAGAGAGCCCAATGCAGGGCTCAAACTTATGAACCGTGAGATCATGACCTGAGCCAAAGTCAGATGCTTAACTGACTGAGCCATCTAGGCACCCCAGTAGGAAATCCTTTTTAACTGAATTATTAAGTACAACTTTTTGTTAGATGTATTTATTTACTTAGATGTTAGCTTTTAGTCAGGTCATTGTTTTTTTCTTGTACTTTTTTTTTTCTTTGCTTGAGTTTTCCTTACACAGTGTCTCTGTTGGTATTTGAGTAAATCAAGCAGGTTGATTTCAGAAAAAATAAAATAAGGTCTAGTACTTTTGTATAGTACCTATGAACCCTGTATTTTTTATTGGCATTTCTGAGTGCTCGTGGTATACTAACTATCTGTAAATTGCATGCATGCACACACACATACACACACAGATATTCATGTAATGGGGTTAAAGACTTTATAGGGTAAATTGCATTTATTATCAACCTATGTAACAGATGGAAAAACTGAGGCATAGAGGAGTAAAATCACTTGCTTATGGTTATGCAGCCAGGAAGTGATGGAGCTAGGATTTGAATATCTTGGAAATCATGTTCTTAACTATTAGGTTAAACTGTAAAAGTACAACAAATTTGGTATTTAGACATAGGGCAAAGGAAGGAAATATGTGATTAGAAGAGGGAATTGTAGTCATTATTTCTAGTTCCATATACTATGATAAATACGGTTTTGCAATTACTGTTCATGAGACTTTTACTTAAGTAATTATAATTATTGTAGCTGTTATTGACAACAACGAGCATTTTTAGAGCATTTTAGAGCACTTATGTGTCAGTCCTTCAGCTAAATATTGTACACAGTTTATCTCTTTTATAATCCTCATAATGAATGTATGAGGTAAGTACTAACTTCCTCATTTAAACATGAAGAAACTGAGACTAGGAGATATTTTGTAATATATTCAAGTCCTATGGATTGTAAGTGGTGAAGATTAAAACCCAGTAAGTTTTAGAGTCTGTGTTCTGTCTCCTGCTATTGTATGTTTAGCTATGGCTCATTGAGCAGGGTGGAAAAAGGTAAATCAATTCCGAGGAAAGATTATACAACCATTTATTTTTCCACTGAAATGAAATTCCATTCTTTTAGTTTTTAGAGGGAGAAGGAAGAGTTCCTCTTATATATACATGCTCACCTGAGCACATATATATGTGAGCATACATATATATTAGTTTTCAGATACTTGATTAAATTCTTATACAGTAGAATTTGTGCTCATGGGAAATGGGTATAGTAGTCTATCGTATTTTTGTTATTAGATAGTCACTAATATTGTTAGAATGGATAGTTAAATTTTTAAATATTAGAATATGGAGGATAAAACATTTCATTGAAAAACTGAATGTAATAAAAAAATAAACTGAATGTAATTTGGAATCACTTTAGGATTCTGCACCACCTCAGGCAATATTTAGGAAACTTGATTTTCATTGTATTATTGGTATAAGGAAATGCTAATCTAGGTATTTCTGTTTGGACAGAATTTTAGTATGTGGTTCTTAGTTATTATTATATAGCATAATATTTTTGGGGAGGTGGACTAATTAGCAAATTAGTTTATGTGCAATAAATGATGGTCTACTCTGAAGAAAAGTCAGATATATTTTAGTATTTATGATGTTGAAATAGAATTTGCATAGTTGCCTTGTGTCAATCTCATGAAGGATTGTGAAGTTCTAAATTTCTTAAATTAATTTTGCTTTATCTACTTATGTTTGAGAATTAAGAGCATTCTTAATGCATTCCTATTTCCATTTGGAAAATACAGGAATGTTTGCATTGATTTTTATACTTTGACTTGGAAGGGAGTTAGGTGATTTTTGAAAAATAGTTTCAATTTGGGCTGAAGTGCAAAAGTCATCCAATAACAATTTACTTTTATTCTTGGCTACCGTTTCTTTTTAAGGTATGTAAAATTTCACTGACGGTTTTGCTCCTGTTTTTATAGTTGCATGTAGTCTTCATTTTTCCTTCTAGTATTATTTTAAGTTGATTTAGAAAGAGCACCAAGAAACTGACATGGTTTTACACTTACACAGTAGTATTTAAATATATATGAATAGTGTAAACTCTATAAAATCTATTGTATACTAAACTCGCTACTTAGAATACCTTTAAAATTGTAGCACCATATAGTTCTAATCTTGTTTTGTTATTCATAGTCTGCGGTGCATAAGTTCTCTACTGAAACGTATGTCATAGTTTGACAATCATTGTTTACACGTAATTTTCTCTCTTTTTATTACAATGCTTCCCCAGCAAGGACAAGTTTGGAAGGTTTGCAAAGCTTTTCACCTTCCCTTTGCCCGCTTGCCCGCTTTCAGATCAGTTTCATGTTTCATAACTTCTCTTTCTGCAATTCACAACATAGCCATAGTAAAAGATGAAAAAAAAAACATTAAATTGCAATATGGTATTTCCTCACACATAGTAGAGAGATAAAACTTTTCAAAGGACACATTAAAAAAAAATGCAATGAGAAGTTAAAGAGCAATGTTATAGTTTAATTCCCTAAGAAATAACATCTCACTAGCAAGCAGTTAGTTAAATGTCGCATAACGAACCACTGAATAGTACTGATTATATTCTGTATTGCTAATAGTTCAGATAAAAAGTTCTTTCTAATGCTTACATTTGTATAATGCAGTTTACTACAGAGAATGCTATATGGCTGATGTGGTCAAAATGTAAACATTCCCATTTATTCTGTGCTTACGAGATCTAGAACAGATACAGATTCATTGTTTGACGTGCTGCCGGTATGATGGAAAAATACTGTTGTGACTCAGGTGTTCAGAGGAACAGGTTACACACTTGAGTACTATAAAGACAATTTTAGCAGCTTCCAGTTCTTTTGAACTAGGGCTCTTGTATTAAAATGTTTAAAATGAATGAGGAAAACATTTTGGAAAAGACATTTAAACATAAGCTTTATTTTATAACACTTAGAAAGAAACATTTCCAGTACTCTTCTGAATATTTAATTTTGTAATAATTTATTAGCTTCAGGTGAATACAATTCTACCTCAAACCAAGACTTTTTTTTTTCTTTTTCTTTTTTTCTTTAGGTTTGAGCTTTTTTCTTCACTGCTGTTCTGCGCTAACTGCTTTGAAACTTTCCATGCATTTTTTTCAGTAGAAGAACATCTCTGTACTGTCTCCCATTGCATATTTCAGCTGTGACAATCCCTGCACTTTGCCTATTCATTTTATCACCTGCTCACCAAAAACAATAAATATCTCTAATTTCTGATTACAGATTTGCTATTAGTTGGTTTTAGAACAAGGATGCATTTCACTTTTTTATTACTGTTGTTTTATAGGCATGTGGAGATCCCAAGGCAAAACCATCCTACCTTATTGACAAAAATCTGGAATCTGCTGTGAAATTCATAGTCAGAAAGTTCCCTGCTGTAGAAACTCGCAACAACAATGTAAGTCATAGAAATTTTTGTGCTACTTGATTTTAACCATCAGTAGGGAAAGTAATGGTTAGATTAATACTTGAAATAGTTCTTATTTGTCTAACTCTTTATATTTTGGTATACCAATTATGTACATTGATGAATGACTTTCAGAGACACAGACACTATTCTTATCTTTAAAACTGGGAAAAATGACTGAAATATGTCACCGTTTTATCATACAAAACATAAGATGTTAATTTCTTACACACTTCTTCACTTTCAAGTTGCAACAGAAAGTAAGGTAATAGATATGTTTATGTTCCAGATATTTGCATGACTAGTTGGGGAGTTTTTCCTAATAATCATACACTATTTTGAAATTAGTAAATGTCATAGAGCTTGTATTGTTTTTAGTAATTAGCTATGTTTAGTTATAAAATATATGTTTCTTTAATATTTTTACATTTGAGAAAACTGTTTCTGAAAAATAATATAACTAGGTGATGTTGTAGGATCTTTATTTTTCCATATTACTTTCTTCAGATGGGGTAGTTTTTCTTAGTATATCAAAATATAATCCTATTCAGAGTTTACATAATCCTGATATGTTTACATAATCCTTTGGTAGTTCTTTGTAATAATTTCTATAAAAACTAATTTTAGAAAATTAGAGCTAATTTTTATTTTACCATGTTCTTTCCATATAAATTTTGTTGACTTGGAATCTTTCTACATGTCTTCTCTTTTTAAATATTTTTCTTTGGTAGTCTTGTGTTATAATCTTTGCTCTCTTTTTCTTTATGTACAAACTTTGTATGGAAATTTCCTCTTACATATGGTCTTCCTACTTTTGAGAAACTGTTTAAAAAACTTTGTCATCTTTTAGTTTCCTTAAATCCTATATTTTTATTGAAGATTCATATTTAACTTACTGATATCACCTTTACTTAAAAATATTTTAATGTAGAGGGAAAATACCAGTCAGAAGTAATAAAGTCTGGTTAAAGTCTCTGTTTCTTGTGAGTACAGGTTAATAGAGGTCTTTCTTTGTTTCATAGAATATGTTTTGTAATTGGTATATTAAGGTATCACAACTAGTTGCTGATTACAAATGGGTGATTCAAAGTACACACTTTTTAAGAACAGTATTATTTGTGTGGAGACTCTTTTTAGTTATTGACATTAATTAGCTGACTTATCTGAGAAATAATATACTCAGAATGAGAGAGGGTTTATGAGAATCGTTTTACATTTAGTTTCATATACACTTCTGTTTCTCCTGGCTTATAAAATCTCTGTGATATGAGCTCTTGAGAGAATCATTTAAGTTTAATGTGTGTGTGTGTGTGTGTGTGTGTGTGTGTAAATGTCCATGTGAGAACAAGCATAGTTCCTAAATATGAGGTCTTTTCTTAGAAAATTAGCAAGATCTGATTAAATACAGTTTTCATAACAGTAACATATTTTGTTAAAGAGTAAATTAAGAGTCTTTGCTCCTTGATTTGTGGGGTAAACTTTATAATAATGCTGCTGTTTCTTGTTTTTTCTAATATTTGTACTTCCCTTCTCAACTTTTGCAGCACAAAGTTGTTTTTTTTAAGTAATAGCTTTATTAAGGTACAATTCACATATGTACAGTTTACTCATTTAAAGTATACAATTCAGTGAGTTTTTAGTACATCCACAGAGTTGTGTGTCTAGTTCCACAATTTTAGAACATTTTCATCACCCCAAAAAGAAACCCCAGACCCATTAGCAGTCACACCTGCTAATCCCCCATCCCTATGCGGACACTAATCTACTTTCTGTATGCCTGTTTTGGAGATTTCATATAAATAGAATCCTATAACATGGTCTTTTGTGACTGGCTTTTCTTTTAGCATAATGTTTTCAAGGTTTATCCAAGTTGTAGCATGTATCAGTACTTCATTTCTTTTTATTGCCAAAAAAATTCCGTTTTGTGGCTATAACATTTTATTTATCCATCCATCAATTGATAGATGATTGGATTGTTTCTACTTTTCTTACTATTATGAATAATGCTGCCATGAACATTTGTGTAAAAGTTTTTGTGTGAACTTATGTATACTTTGAAGTAGAATTACTGGGTCATGTGGTAATTTTTTGTTTAACCTATAAAATCAGTTGGATATTGTTGGATATTACGCTGCTTGTAGAATTTACTTTGGTTGTTTTGTGCAAAGTCTCAGTTTTGTGATACGGCCTTTACAACTATCTCATGTAATGCTATTGTATTGTTTTTTGCCTACTGAAGTATTATATACTGGGTATTTATGAGGTTTTATGATCTCAGTTTTGATAAATCCTGGTGAGAAGTTCCTAGCCAACTTGGGTTAGGAAATGACAAATGAGTGCCACTTTGTTATTATTTTTTAATTTCATGGAAGTAGTTAATGGAGGTGTCAGGACTGGGAATGGCAGTAGCATCTGGGAATGATGGAAACTTGCAGATTTCTGGGTGCTAAGTAAACTGAAAAAAATATATTGATACCGTGGTTGGTTTTTTTTTTTTCCTTCTTATTCCTGGTCTTTGGGTCCCTATATAAATATGTATCACAGAGCATGCTTACTTTATCTCAGAAATCAGGGAGAATTCCTGGTAAGCACTAACTTGTCCCCAGTTTTAGAAAAGGCAGACAAAAATATTGTTTTGGTGAAAAATTAAGCACAAATTTTATTTTGAAGTTTCTGAGAGTAGATTCCTACAAAAAGGCTACCTGTGTGCTGATAGATAACCTGGTTATCTGGTATTCTAACAAAGGGAGGACACTGCTAACAGATACAGCCAGATTGGTTTCTAACATAGCCTCAGCAATGATGATGTTGGGTTCTGTTGAGTCCGTTTTGCTGTCTTGCTTGGGCCCTTTTGTGACCAGTTAGAAACTTTTGTACTTTTCCAGTTCTGGATTTAAGGAAAGTCTGGGCCAAAGGATGTCTTGTCTTGTCTTGTTTTGTTTTGTTTTGTTTTGTTTTGTTTTGTTTTGTTTCCCTGAGTCATGATGTTGAACTAAATGTGCCCGTAGACTTCAAAGTAGGCTGATTAAGTAAAATATAAATGAATAAGAGTTTTGTAACTATAGTAGCACTTACTAAGTGTCTAATATTTGCCAGGCTATTTTAATAGAGTTAATAGATTTTTAAATTTATTTTTAGGTTAAGGAAAGCATTTCTGAGCAGAGAGATTGTCTAATTTATAACATGATAATCTTCTAGTATTTTGAAAGGGTGACTGCAAGTGAATGTAAAATTGGTTTCCCAGAAGTTTCTTCTGAGTATATAGAGGGAAATTTGTTATTTTCCTGGGTAAAGAAAATAGTAGAAATTCCATATTTTAACAGGTAGAAATTGTTTTGTCCAAGAAATTCTAAGGAGCATTTTAAGGAAATGATCATGTTTATGTATGTGAAGACACTTCTTATGAAATGTTTCCTAAAATATTTCAAACTTTATTTACCCCTTTTGTTCTTGTGTTGTATTTCCATCTAAAAGCTAGTTTGTTTTTTAAAACAGTTTAAATATCTGACACAACAATGTCATTATAGGATTTGCCTACTTACCTACATTTTAGTATAAAATTTTGGATTTGATTCCCAAATTAATGACAAAATGATATGTGTATGTTGAATTAAGTCTTAATTCCCTAAGAGTGAAGACCTTGTTAGTGAGGAGAGTGCCACAAGAATAATATAAGGGATTCTAGATTGAGAAACAGGCCATTATTGAAATAATTTGAAAATTAAGTTTTCAAACTTAGAGGAATATTTTGTGTTATGTGTTAACTTTTTTCTTAAGGAACACAGTATTACAGGATATTATGGAATAAATTAAATATTTTAAGTAGCTTGCAAGGTTACTCAAGTAAAGACAAAATAAAGCAACTCTAATGTTAGTTGTGAGACCGCATTAGAATCTGTTTTTAGATAACTTTTTATCCCTAGTGCTTGGTACATAAGAGACAGTAAATAAATGTTTGAATGAGTGAATAAAATTTATTTTATTCAATCATTATTTAAAATTTATGTCAGAACTCAAACTTACCAATAAATTTTTAACTTCATTATGTTGTTAGCTAAAAATTTACTATCCTTTTTAGTGGAGCTACACAGATACATCTCATTAATGATACTACTGAGAGCAAACTGGAATAAGATGAGTCCCAGCTTCTTAAAAACATAAATGTGTTTTGGGAGTGGGCTGGTGGACTTGAGGACAGATGTAGGGAAACCCTGACACATGCAGTGTGATTTAGTTAGTAGAAGGAAGAGGTGAGGAAATTTACTTGTTTCTAGCTTGTCTTGTCTTGGCTTCCATTATGATGTGGTAGTATACTGGTTACGAGGATGGACTTTAGAGTCAGTGAAACAGAATTTGAGTTCTGGTCTTTCCACTTATTAGCTGAATGATTTGGGGTAAGGTATTTCACATCTTAAAGCCTCTTTGTTATTCTCTCTAAAATGATGATAATACCAATCTCAAGAAGCAGTTTAATATCTCCTACAGTACTTCACAGATTTGTGTGACAAATTGCTTTTGAAAAATTGAAACTGTTACTTATATTACCCCTCTGACTTTTTGGTCTGCTTCACTGCCTTTTCTTCTAGCTGCCCTTTAAATGTGGGTAATTCTAAATGACTCCTTCCCACCCCACCCGCAGCAGTATATATGTATGAAAACTTTCTCTTCCATTGCTTCAACTAAGTAATCTACTCTCTTCTGTTTTCTGGGTTCTGAAATTCTAGGTCTGATTCCAGCTACCCTTTGGACAGCTGCACAAGTTAAATAATAGCAAACTTTGTATCCAGTATTGAACACATGATTATTCCCCATTTTGTTTCTCTTCTATGTTTTCTGCCTGGAGCCATCATCTTCCACTTGGTTATCTAAACTAGAATTTTTAGATTCCCCTTTGGCTTTTATAAAATGTCAAGTTGGTGATTTAGAGCTCGTCATTTTTAATACTTGTCAGTTTCAATAATGTCTTGAATTTATCCCCTTCAGGTCCTAGTCTCCTGCTGGGACAAATGCTGTGATAATCCAAACACTGCTTTTCTTGCCATTCCAGTCTCTCCTCCTATTGCCACTCCCCATTCCCCACACTAGAGAGGCCAAACAGAACACTAATCTGTTTCTTTGTGGTAACTCCCATCTCTGTTTTCCTGCCCTAAGCACTCATCTTTGAATTCTGTTGACTAGGATGTAGTAGGCCAGCAAGAAATACTTTGGTTTTAAAAGGAATTATTATATAATAAGATAATATAACAAGATTTGGAGGATATATTTTGTCATTAGTCAATATGTCTCTCTGTATATCTGTATAAATACCCTAATGTAAACTTAAATATTTGGTTTTGACCAAGTAAACTGTGCCAAAATTGAAAGAATTTTAATACAATGAGAACTAACTAAAGTGTCTATTCTTTTAAAAAGGTATCATCAATATTCATTTAATATGTCTTCTACATGTAATAGTCTTTAATTCTAACTTGAATAAACAGAATAAATAGAAGAATGAACCCCTCATTAAAGATACAAGTAAGCCATGCTTTGATATATTTGAAAAGTACTTGAAATAGGTTAAGTGCTGGCAGGGAATTGCATTAGCACTAATGACCTACCTAAACTGGTTTAAATTTCCTTTTAGTTTATACCTAAATAACATAAATTCATGGTAATGAGCCAAATAGTTCAGAAGAATTTAAGATGAAAAGTGGGCGTATCTCCTACCCACTATTTCCCACCCTAGTCGTATTTCTCAGAAGGAACGTCTTCTAAGGAATATGCTTGTTCTTTTATAAATTCATTTGCCAGTGTTAGACAATGCCTATTATAAATTCTCTTCTACAGAAGATGATAATTGAGCTCATTCGATTTCTTGCTCCTTACTTACTCTCCCTTCTTCTTGATATTTGATAGTTTTGTTGTTAATATTTTTGGATCATTGGTTACTTCCTTTTTGAACTTCACATAGTACAGTTCTCTGTTTTTATGCCCTCACCCTTGGTCATTTATACTTTAATGCTGTCAAAATTGTTAGTGCTTTCTTTTGTTTATGAAACCATAAAATGTTCTGAGACTGATTTCTGTGCTGATTCCAAAAATTAACTATTAAAGACCTGAGTGCTTAGTTTGTATTCTTCATTCCATTGTCACATTGGACTTAAAATAATTTATTTATGTTTATATCTTTAATATATTTAGCATTAAAGTAAAATGGATTCTTTCATCCAGAATTATTTTGTAGTTAAATTTGTTTCATAGGTATATCATGATTTCTGGACTTACAGTTATGTGCCTTGATAGAATTCTTAAAATTTATCCATCCTAATAATCATATCATCTATGTAGGCTTTCCTTTTTGTATGGAGCCCACTCTTCTATAACCTGCTGTCTTCTAACTCCTCTGTGGACAGTTTGCTTATGTCTGCTGCAAAGCTTTCATCTTGGGACATCTTCTCTTTGTTGTCCCAAGTATAATGGTTTTTACCTGGGCTTTTACATGAAGTTTTCACAGAATTTGGGAATCCCCTGATACTGTGTACAGAATTTGAATGTGAGTGTATTTTTTGGCTTTCATTGTATTCTCAGGGTTGATTCCTATGATCCCAAAACACATGTGCTTTGAAATCACTTTATTTTGTGAATTTTGTGTACTATATATTCTAATTATACTAAACTCTAATCATAACCTCTTCAGCTCATTGATGCTCTCTGTTTTCCTGCAAATGAGACTGCTAATGAGCATTATACTGGGGTTTTCCCCATGGAGATGCATTCCTGGCATTTGCAATCATCTTTCTATTTTCCTCAAATTTCTTAGTTATATCTTGCCCTTAGTGATAGTTTTTTAGCTATCTTCCAAACCGTCCCTTTGGCTGCAATGTTGGTTATGATGCCCTTCCTAATAACAAAGGATATTACCAATATGTAATCACTTGTTGATCTTTAATTTTTATTTTCTTGGTTATTTGTTTGAAGGGAGCTTTAGCTACTTGTAGCCTGGTACCCTTTGAGCACCGTTAGTATGGTTTCTTTCTGTTTATCATGGCTGCCCTGGTCTTACCTTTTGTCAGATCAAAAAATTTTTGCTAAGATGCAGAGTAAAAGGCGACAAAAGAAACTATAGTGGAGTAAATAAGAGATGTTGCAAAAACACTTATTCTTCTTTATTCTTCTTCCTAGCAGTCATCTTGGGCTAAAAATGTTTTAAATATGTATACTAATGGTCTTTAGCCAAAAATAAATAGGATAGTATACGATGTTAGTCCTCTGTGTAGTGTTAGATAGAATGCGGAACATGGGAAAATATATTTAAGTGCTTTTTAAAAAATGTTTATTTATTATTTTAAACAACATTTTTTAAATGTTTGTTTATTTTTGAGACAGAGAATGAGACAGAGTGTGAGTGGGGGAGGGCCAGAGAAAGGGAGACACAGAATCGGAAGCAGGCTCCAGGCTCTGAGCTTTCAGCACAGAGCCTGACGTGGGGCTCAAACCATGAACCATGAGAATATGACCTGAGCCGAAATCGGATGCCCAACCGACTGAGCCACCCAGGCGCCCCAGTGTTTATTTTTGAGAGAGAGAGAGAGAAAGAGAGAGAGACACCGACTGAGTGCGAGCAGGGAAGGGGCAGACAGTGAGGGAGACACAGAATCTGAAGCAGGCTGCAGGCTCTGAGCTGTCAGCACAGAGCCCAACGTGGGGCTCGAACTCATGGACCGTGGGATCATGACCTGAGCCAAAGTCAGACACTTAACTGACTGAGCCACCCAGACGCCCCTACGTGCTTATTTTTTAAGGAGTATTTTATTTTGGGAGAGTATGTGTATACTTTCATGGCACAGATTGGCCATGCTTTCCTTAGCCTTGAGGTCTTTGTTTATGCTGTTTTCACTATATGGAAAAATACTTGCCTCCCATATTCTTTCGTTAGGCTAACTTCTACTTGTCTTTTGGGTTTATCCTCAGATGTCACCATTTCAGAGAAACTTTCTTTAACCCTTTCAAGTTAGGTTAAGTGCTGCATGTATAGTTCCCTCCATTTATCATTCATTCACTTATTTAAAACATTTGTTGAGTGCTATCTGCATAGTCCTGTTATGGGAGAGGGGATCCAGCAGTGAATAACTAAATCAAATTACAGTTCTTGTAGAGCTTATGTTCTATTGGATAAAGATAGACCAAAAAAGAATATGAATGTAATATCAGGTAGAGATGAGTTTTAAAAAGAACAAAACAGAGTGATAGTGGGGAGATACTTACTTAAGGTGACCAGGGAATGCCATACTGAGGAGAAGGATATTTGCAGTCATTGAGATTAGAGCTAATAGTGGCTTGGGCCAGAATGGTAGAGGTGAGAAATGTTCAGATTCTGAATTACTTTGAAGACAGCCATGAAATGTTCAGATTCTGAAAATGTATTTTGAAGATAGAGTCTTCAGTAATTTGCTGATCCATTGGTATGGGGTACATGAGACTATGAGAGATGACCCCAAGATTTTGGCTTGAACAGATCTCGAGGTTTACTTGGGTAAGGACCCAAGATGAACAGGTTTGGGGTGGGCGCGGGCATAAAAGGGGATAGTACTCAACAACTCAATATTAGATATGTTCAATATGTCTAAATATTAGAAATCTGAGTGGAGATTTGGAGTAGCCAAGTATACGTATTAAGTCTAGAGCACAGGCTAACATGAAACAAGTTGAAATGGAATTATTGAGTGTTTTAAGAGAGAGAGGGAATGGCATAATCATTGAGAATGAGAGAATGAATTGACAGTAAAAATTGGCAGTGAAAATGGTGTCGTGTTGCTACTCAGTTATGGTTTATGGTCATGAATTTAGGTTGAGATCAAGTCAGCATATGTATATGTTTTCTCTTATTGTGGGTTTTATCAGGCAGTCATGATGGAGAAAGAGATAAGGGAGTAATCCAGTGATGGGCCACTCAGTCTTAAAATGGTTAAAAAAGGTATTATGGCATAAGAAGGCAAGTGACAGGAAAAAAATGGTAGGGTAAATGGATCGGAGGTGCTTCTGAGTTCCAAGAATTGATGAGGATGTAAGGTATTAGGAGGGTATTACAGGTCTTAAGTGGGAGTTATTCATAGATGCCAGTTAACCTTGTTTCCAAATCTCCCAAGAACAACATATAAACAGAAAGGTCAGGAAGAAGCCAAGAGAGTTTAAGCATAAACTTTATTCCTCTTTACAGGCCTGCAAATTGAGGAAATTTAACATGAGCCACCACACTGTCAATATGTAAGAAAAATAATCCCTGGGAGCCCTCTTTATTTTAGGGTATCCTTTAACTTTCCCCATCTTCCTCACCATCCTCACTACCTTTAGAAGCTCTGACCATTCTTGTGGTCTTTCTCAAACTGGGAAGGGGGAGGAATGTGTGTGTGTGCTTTAAACTTCTTTCATATTATTACTAGTTGGTGAGGGTTTTTGTCTTGTATTATAAGCATTATAGTGTTTCACCATTTTTGAACCTTGCACCTAGAAGTTAATTGTGGTGTAACCAGCTTTTAAAACTGGATATTTACCTTAAAAAAAAAAAAAAGGTGAGAGTTACCTGCATACTGACATGTACATCCTTCAGTAGTCTATATACTCTTTTAGAGGCAAGGTCATCATTTTATTCACAGTTTTATCCCCAGCTCCTCTCATGATGCCTGATAATATAATAGGTTGGGATATTTGTTGACTAAATGAATAATATATTTATGAATAAGTAAGTAAAATGTGGTATATCCATTTAATGGGATACTATTCAGCAATTAAAAGAACACACTACTGATAGATGTTGTAGTATTGATGAACTCCAAAACATTGGGCTAAGTGAAAGAAGTCAGATGCAAAAAGCTACATATTGTGTGGTTCTATTTTATAGGAAGTGTCTAGAAAAAGCAAATTTGTTGAGACAGAAAGTAGATCAGTAGTTGCTTGGTTCTGGGGGTAATGGGGTAAGAGTGAGGTTAACTGTAAATAGTATATCTTGGGATAATGGAAATGTTCTAAAACGATAGGGTTGGTGGTTGCACAACTCTAAATTTATGCAAATTATTTAATTGTTCATTTATCATGGATGAGTTTTATGTTATGTAAGCTACCTTTTTTAAGTGATTTATATTTTTATTTTTTAAATGTTTATTTTTGAGAGAGAGAGAGCATGCCACCCAGGCACCCCATAAACTGTATCTTAATAAAGCTATGAAAAACAATTTTCAACAGCCAGAAGGGGTATTTTATTTTTTATTTTTTATTTTTTTTTAAGTTTATTTATTTATTTTGAGAGCACGCTTGCATGAGCTTGAGTGAGAAGGGGGTAGAGAGACGAGGAGAGAAAGAATCCCAAGCAGGCTCCGTGTTGTCAACATGGATCCCCATGTGTGGCTTGAAATCACTAACCACAAGATCACGGCCTTAGCCAAAGTCAGATGCTGAGCCACCCAGGTGGTCCTGGAAGTATTTCAGAAAAAATGAAATGTATTCAGAAACTGTGAGATCATGACCTTAGCTGAAGTTGGGTGATTAACTGACTGAGCCACCCAGGCATCCAGAGAAATAAAAACTTTAAAAAGTAAAAAAGTATAACCATCAAGGACAGTTTAATGTTGACTTATTACCTTGATATGTCAGTAGCACCTGAGGCCATCTTGACATAAATAGTTCGGCATAATTATTGATTATAATGTAGACATCTAATCTGTAAGAAAAGCTTGATTTTTTTCAGTGCCCAGGTTATGGAAGCAAGGTAATCACATATTAGAAAAATAAAAATTATTAAAAATGAATGTGAGGAACTAGCTTCATTTATATTGGAAAATGGTGCCATTATACAAAAATTACATTATCGTTAACACAGTATACTACCTTTTATATAAATATGTTACACCAACCTCTCTTTACTCTAGGACCTATAATTAGTGATTTTTCTAGTACTAATGATAAAATTACAGTAGTTCACGAGTTTGTATTAATTTGACCATCCTGTAACCAGAAATCTTAAACTTTCAGGATCTTTTCAGGTGCAACTTAAGGTGCACAGGTGGTGAAATAGAGATTGTTTTAATTTGTGTTACTTATTAGTCTTTGTTTCAGTTACTTAGTACTATATAACAGATGACCCCAAATATTAGCTTAAAACAACAACTTATTTCTTATTCTGTAGGTTCACTGGGCAGTTCTTGTGTTTGTCTCACCAGCCTTATGAAACAACATCATGTAGCTGGTGGGTTGGCTGGGGGGTGGGCCTAACTGAGATAGCAAGATACTGAGACTTTTCTTTCCTCATGATATATCTGAGGCCTCTTCACACATGGCACTCAAGGGCAGTGTTCCAAAAAGAGCAAAATCAGAAGCTGCAAGGCCTCACATTAAGAGTGTCATTGCTTCTGCTTTCTGTTGGTCAAAGCAAGTCACAAGGCCAGCTGAGATTGTAAGGGTGGGAAAAGAGAATACTATTGATGGGAGGAGCAATAAAGTCCTATTACAAAAGTGGTATGTATAAACCTTTAATTTCTTTGCCTTTCTGTTCTTTAAAATATAAAACTCTGTTCTTTGGAATTAATTTAAACGATGACTAGCAATACAAATTTGAAAAAATTTAATATATAAAATAAGGAGGTTGAATTAGAGGAGTTCTTGGAAGCTATAGTCTGATGAGGCTACAAATAAATACAAGTATTTTCTGAAAAGAAAATAGTTATAGCTTGGCTTGTTCCTATACTACTTTTGTATCATTGTATGGACACTTGAATGTTGAAGTATATCGAAGAGGTGTTTTAAACTTTGATGTCTCATTGACTTCATTTGGCATTTTGCCCTCTTTATGGTCTGTTTCTGTATCTGGAAAGTGAGGATAAAAATATACCTGGATTGGGAAGATAAAAGTTCGGGGGGGGGGGAGGGGGACGCCTCGGTGGCTCAGTTTGTTAAGCATTGGACTTGACCTCAGCTCAGGTCTTAATCTCAGGGTGGTGAGTTCAGGCCCCACACTGGGCTCTGCTGAGCATGAAGCCTGCTTAAAAAAAAATAAGATGTTCTGGACACAGATGGGAGTGATAGTTGTACAACAATGTTAGTATATTTTTAAGTGTGAACTACACATTTCAAAATGGCTGAAATTGTTAAAGTAGATTCTGTGTTATGTATATTTTATTGCTGTAAAAAACATGTACCTTGAAGAGTATTTATGAGGATTAGATTCAGTAACAAATTTTAAATACTCAGTCATGCTTAATTACTAGGCAGGTGTTAAGGATACTTCCCTGAAATTTATTTACTATCCTTTGCTCAGAAAAATGCATTTATGAAATACTGACTACCAGTAGAATCATTTTGTATATGATAGAAGGAGAATCCTACAAAATGTTATGAACCTTTTTTTTTTTTTTTAATTTTTTTTTTCAACATTTATTTATTTTTGGGACAGAGAGAGACAGAGCATGAACGGGGGAGGGGCAGAGAGAGAGGGAGACACAGAATCGGAAACAGGCTCCAGGCTCTGAGCCATCAGCCCAGAGCCCGACGCGGGGCTCGAACTCACGGACCGCGAGATCGTGACCTGGCTGAAGTCGGACGCTTAACCGACTGCGCCACCCAGGCGCCCCTGAACCTTTTTTTTAAAATGAGTACTCTTGGGGCACCTGGCCGGCTCAGTTGGTGGAACCCGCAACTCTTGATCTTGGCATTGTCCCTTGCTGGGTGTAGAGGTTACTTAAAAATAAAATCTTTAAAAAAGTAAAATGAGTACTCTTTGTGCTGATTTGGATTTTCAGGTAATTTTAGATTCGCTTATATTGGATCGAATATGCCATTCTTTTAGACGCTTCTTGTTTCCTTGTTTTATGCTTTTCTATCCTGGAAGGACATAATAAAATATTTTGCCCAACTTTGGGGATTTATTCCAGGGATTAAATCACCAGTCTGTGTTAGGATACATAAACTCATTTGAGACATGAGTTGATACCTTATATTGCATTCATTTATAATCAGCAATGCAATTTAAAAATTAACTATGATTTTTACATTGAGAATCTTGATGATTGGAAATTAATTGATAGATTAATTGTACATCCTACTATGTGCTGGTATTCTTTCAACGTTTATTTATTTTGGGGACAGAGAGAGACAGAGCATGAACGGGGGAGGGGCAGAGAGAGAGGGAGACACAGAATCGGAAACAGGCTCCAGGCTCTGAGCCATCAGCCCAGAGCCCGACGCGGGGCTCGAACTCACGGACCGCGAGATCGTGACCTGGCTGAAGTCGGACGCTTAACCGACTGCGCCACCCAGGCGCCCCCGTGCTGGTATTCTTGATGTTGGAGATATAGCAGAGAGTGTTACAAACCTTCTTGCTCCGTGGATTTAAATTCAAGTTGGGTTTTTAGATAACAAACAGTTAATGGAAATAAACACATACTTTGATTTGGTGATAAGTGGTAGGAAGAAATAAAAAGCAGGATTAGCAGTTAAAGAGCAAGGAGGAAAGACTATTTTATTTTATTTTTACGTTTATTATTTAAAAAAAATTTTTAAGCTTATTTAGAGAGAGAAAGAACACGAGTGGGGTAGGGACAGAGAGAGAGACAGAGACAGAGACAGAGACAGAGAGAGAATTCCAAGCAGGCTCCACGCTGTCAGTGCAGAGCCCAATGTGGGACTCCACTCACGAACTGCGAGATCATGACCTGAGTCAAGATCAAGAGTCAGATGCTTAACCAACTGAGCCACTCATGAGCCCCAAAAGGAGACTTTTTTTTTTTATTTGAACCAAAAGGTCTCACATGTTTATTACTGAACCAACCTACAGGTGCAGAAGCATGGTAACAGAGAAAAGTCAATTTCCTGATAAAACAGATCTACTGGTCAGGCAGTAGGGAGGGATGGAATAGAAACACCTGATTTTCAGGCAGCATAAACGTGTGCCATCTCATGTTCGATCCCTTACAGACCCAGCTTCATTCTTCTCCAATTCTGCCTCTTGGAGTTGTATCTGATTTTATTACCAGTTTTCATCCGAACCCACGGGGCAATGGGACGATTCTCCTTTTGTTTCTTGGCAAGGAATCTCTTGATCCTGAAAGTCTTGTGAGAAGACATGGCGAGAAGTGGCCAGCCACACACAAGGACGGCGTAGAAGAGGGAAAAAAAAGCAAAAGGAGACTATTTTAGATAAGAGTGCTTAACAGTGGCTTCTCTGAAGAGAAGTGAGGGAGTGAGCTATGCAAACAAGTGGCAAAAACATCCCAGACTTGAGAAAGGAAGTGCAGAGGCTCTGAGGTGGGACCAACCTTGATGAATTTGATGAACAGAGGAGAAAGACCTGTATGACAGCTACTGAGTGAGGCTAAAGAAGTCAAAGATGAAGTTTGGAGAGCAGTTTGGAGGCTAGTGTAGTGGTCTAGATGAGAGTTAATGACAAAGGGTGGTAGCTGACAGTTCCTTTCATAAGAGGTTTACCCAAATACCTTCTCAGGACTCATATTTTTAAAAGTGTGGTTTAGAATATCATATTAAGAAACTGAACAAAGCTTTTTCTGAGACCAAACTTCTATACTTGGTTGTTACTGTTTTGTTTTTGAATTTTCATTTTTATTTTTTAAATTTGATTTAAATCCAAGTTAATATATAGTGTAAGAATGATTTCAGGAGTAGAATTTAGTGATTCATCACTTACATATAACACCCAGTGCTCATCCCAACAAGTGCCCTCCTTAATGCCCATCATGCATTTAGCCCACCCCCCACCCAGCACCCCTCCAGCAACCCTGTTCTGTTTTTAAGAGTCTATTATGGTTTGCCTTTCTCTCTCTTTTTATCTTATTTTTCTTTTCCTTCCCCTACGTTCATCTGTTTTATTTCTTAAATTCTACATTTGAGTGAAATATATTTGTCTTTCTCAGACTGATTTCACTTAGCATAATATACTTTAGTTCCATTCACGCTGTTGCAAATGGCAAGATTTCATTCTTTTTGATCACGGAGTAATATTCCATTGTGTGTGTGTGTGTGTGTGTGTGTGTATGTGTACACATCTTCTTTATCCATTCATCAGTTGATGGATATTTGGGCTCTTTTCATACTTTGGCTTTTGTTGATAGTGCTGCTATAAACATTGGGATGCATGTGCCCCTATGAATCAGCATTTTTGTATCCTTTGGATAAATACCTAATAGAGCAATTGCTGGGTTGTACGGTAATTGTTTTTAAATTTTTGAGGAACATCCATACTGTTTCCAGAGTGGCTGTCCCAGTTTGCATTTCAACCAGCAATGCAGAAGGGTCCCCTTTCTCCTCATCTTTGTGAATATCTTTTTCCTGTTTTGCCAGTTTTAGCCATTCTGACAGATGTGAGGTGGTATCTCATTGTAGTTTTGATTTGTAGCTGAGGTCAAAGAGGTTGCTGCCTGTTTTCTCCTCTAGGATTTTCATGGTTTCCTGTCTTACATTTAGGTCTTTCATCCATTTTGAGTATACATTTCTGTATGGTATAAGGAAGTTGTCCAGGTTCATTCTTTTACATGTCGCTGTACTGTTTTCCCACCACCATTTGCTGAAGAGACTTGTCTTTTTTCCATTGGATATTCTTTCCTGCTTTGTCAAAGATTAGTTAACTATATAGTTGTGTGTCCATTTCTTGGTTCTCTATTCTGTTCCATTGATCTATGTTTCTGTTTTTGTGCCAGTACCATACTGTCTTGATGATTACACCTTTGTAATACAGCTTGAAGTCCGGACTTGTGATACCTCCAGCTTTGGTTTTCTTTTTCAGGATTGCTTTGGCTATTTGGGTTCCATACTGTACTTGGTTTTTAAAAGGAACAAAATACTAGCATAATTTAGATCAAGAAAAATAGTTTATTATGCATAAGCAGTTTTGACAATGAAAGAACATAATACTTGAAATAGGTGAATAGAGAACTATAGCCACATTTCTTTGAAAATCAGTGAGTTGCCATCTTAGGCATTGGTTCTTTATTGTAATTTGCCAGTAATTTTTCTTTGAAAGAGTAAAAACTAGTAAATACTACATTTCAGTGAATTTTTTAGATACTTATTTTGTGTGTAAAATGCTTCTTAATTTGACAAAGATTGATAACCAACATTTTTCAGTGCAAAGATATGATGTTTTTACGATCTGTGTTGCTAATGTTTTTCCTGTTTGCTCTCGGTTTTTACATATTTTTTACTTTGAATGTTAAGAATAAGGATCCATGGTTTGAAATTTAGTGAAAGCATTGTACAAATATTTTGCTAATGTATATAGTTAATCTAAGTATCCAAAATAATGCTTTTAAAGTATTAATGAATAGAATCAGTTCTCAGAATTACACTTTTCTAATTCTGTTCTGTTACATCAAACAATTTATTATTGATTTGTTGTTTAGCTGTTTCCTGCTTTTTGTTTACTATAAAACAATGAGATGATGAACCTAAAATTAAATACATTTAGTAGTATCTACTCTCTTTCACTTTAAGAACTAAAAGGTACCATTCTTTTTTTGTGGTTGAAGTCTTAAAGTTGTAGACACTTTTGTTCTTTGTTGTTATAATTGATCTCTTTCATACAGAACTTTATGGAATTTATTGTCATTAAATAGGGAATATAATTGGGACGACTGAGTGAGATACTTGTAGAGTATTTGGAACAATGCCTGGCAAGGAGTGTGTGCTCATATAATACCAGCTCTTACTAGAAGTGCTATGAGTAGTACTACATTATTTAAAATAGCTTTTCTTTTGTTTTGAAGAAATGGTTTGTTTAGCCTCCTTTGCCATTTATCTAATATTGAATGAATAGCTTCTGGGTGCCAGGAACTGTCAGATGTTCTCATGTACATTATTTTGGCTAATGATGAGAGTATTAGGCTCTAATGGTTAAGTCAGTTAGTCTTGGTTGTTCAATAAGAGGTAGGCTTTCTAGCAAAATTTGTCATCTATGATTGACATAAAAACCTTTTAAATTTGTCATAATCTCTCCTCTGATAGATGTTTATGTTGGATACTTTTTTATGTTCAGAGCAATGCGATATGGGCTGTGGAGATTGAAAAAAATGAGTTTGGTACACTGTCTTATAGTGCTGGAGAAAGCTGTGATACAGGGTAGAAAATGATACTGTTAGAAATTATACACATTTAGAAGAGAGAGCTAATACTTGCATTCAGGGAAGAAGTTTAATCAGGCATGGTTTTTGAAGATAAGTTAACATTTAAACTGAATAGTTTGGGCATAGTAGGATTTGGACATCTCAGTAGAGGAAACAAATATGAGATGTGTATAGAAAATAGGGAATAGTTTGTTTTAGGTACTGTGTATGAATGAATGTAGGAGAAATTTTAGATTGGGAAGGTAAATTTTATTTAGAACCAAATTGTGTAAGGCCTTGAAAACTTGACTGTTTTGAATTCAGACATTTGTTAGTGGAGTGAATGTTTTTAGTCACTTTGAGGCTAGTTACATATGGTTTGGGGGAAATAAAGTTGAATGAGAAATTTAGACCATAATGAGATTTTATTACTAAAAAGGGAGGTGGTGAACATACAGAATGGTAGAAAGGACAGTTCTTTTACATTCTGTGGGCATTAGGTTCTTAATATGTAAAATAAAATGTGTGTAAAAAGATCATTAAGGCCATAATGAGATGGTGACTCTGTCTTTTTTTTTTTTTTTTTTTTGTCCAAAATAGGGTGCTGAAATTTAAAGGAGGTACTATTTATAAATTAACCCCATAGCAAATGAGTTATAATTTTTGTTTTTTTTAGTTTTATTTTACCTATTATATTTAAAAAAAAAAATTTAAATTAGTTAAAACAAAAAAAAAAAAAAAAAAAAAGACTAAGTCATCAATCATAAAGGTTTATTGTTGAACTTAAAGGTAAAGGTAATATAATCTGAGGAAATAGAATCTTTTAAAATTTATTAATTTAGTTTTAGTTGAAGTATAGTTGACACAGTGTTACATTAGTTTCAGGTGTATAACAGTAATTCCACAAGTTTATATGTTAATACTACGTTCACCACAAGTGTAGCTACACCTGTCACCATACAATGCTGTTGTAACACCACTGACAATATTCCCTATGCTATACTTTTTATTCCCCTAACTTACTCATTCCATAACTGGAAGCCTGTGTCTCCCACTCCCCTTCACCCATTTTGTCCACTTGACACCCCCAGAAAATAGTCATTTTTGTATAAGTATCTGCTTGATGAGTGGTAATGATTAAAAATGTGCATATAAACATGGAAGTGTTTTGAAACAGATACATTGTTGAAAATAAAGTCAGTTACTCATAGATAAAGCTAAAACCAGTTACACATCACTGTAAGTATACACTTTAATATGTCTGGCATTATGAGGAAGTAATGAGGTACTTCATTTACACATTTTCTAGACATAATTCTTTAAATGTCTTCAGGGACTGCAGTCTTTAGGGTAGTTTACCCTATATTAGATGGGTCTACTAGGCTGCTATACTTGCTATTTTAAACTGTCTTGTCAGAATTTTTTTTGAATTTTCCCTTGATGTTGCACTCACTGCTGTAAATTTTCTGGCTTATCATAATGGTTCAGTACAATTATGTAGAGGGGCACCTCTTCCCCCAACTCTCCTGTATAAGTAAGAACTGTATGAGGGCCTCAAAATTATGTGGACTATGACAGCAATTTTGTTACTTCAAACCACTTTTCCGTATTCTAGTTTTCTCACATTCTAGACAAGTGATTCTCAGACATTTAGTGTGCATTCAGGTCACCTGGGTATTTTGTTAAAAGGCAAATTCTCATTCAGTAGATCTTCCTTGGGCCTGAGATTCTGCTTTTCTAATCAGCTCCTAAATGATGTGGAGTTGCTCTTCTGTGGATTACACCGAGAATATCAAGGTTCTAGAAGGTTTATTGGAATTCTGTCAGTCTTATGATACAGGGTGTTAAATGTGGCTGGATTCTTCCAGAACTTACAGTTTTGAAAAGAAAACCTAGGGCTTTTTAAATTTAATAATGCAGTTGATTGGATAATATTTATCTTTTATATTCACGTTTCCCTCTTTCATGTTTACCAGTGTCTTAACTCTAGTTTTGCTTCTTTCTCATTTCTTT